TCTCACTGTTCTCACTGTGTAGCTCAGGCTAACCTAGAATTCATTCTATGGCACAGGCTGATCCCCCTGTCTCAAACCCAGTCCTCCTACCTCAGCCCTCAAGTGCTGTGATTACAGGCATATCCACCATGCTTGGCTAATAGTATATCTTATACAGACAGTTTTTTCATTCCATTGTTGTTGAACTGTTTTTACAAATGAAATATTTGAAATTTTTTTAAGATGGTTTGGATTTTTATGAACACCTAATGTATTGTTCTCTATGCATTTCTATTTCCTTTTCGGAATACATTTTCATTTCCTCATTTGTATTCCTTGTGCCTTCCTGACTTCCTCATGGGTGGTGTCTCTGCCACATTCTCTGCCAGAGTGCTCCTTCTCATGCTTTTCTGCTCTCAGAAGGAGGCTGGAACCCAGTGTTTGTTGGAAGGACAGAATTTCAGAGCTTCCTCTCTAGGAAGCCGCTGGGCAGTTATTTCCTTCTGCAGAAGTGAACAGAGGCATTAACAGCAACTACTTGGTGGCAAATTGCTCATCACCAATGGATCTGCGTCTGTGCGTTCTGATTCCCGATCAGGACTCTCTGACCTGCTGCGTTGGTTACTTCAGTAGATGGAGACAGCACCAAAGGATTTATTTCACATTGATGAAAAAAAAAGAGGAAAAGAAATTATTTATTTACTCAATTCAAAATATAATTTAGATATAAGTATCACTCTGCAGCAGTGTATAATTTAAACCAATCAATTCATTTCTGGACATTTATCTTAAAAAACCATCTAGTACAGATAGGCAAATTAGAGCTGGCAGGCTACATCAGGCTTACTACCTGTGTTTATATAGCCTGTCTAAAATGATTAAATAATTTATAGCATAGGAAAAGTATTTAGAACCCAAATAAAATATTATTGTACACAGCCCCCACTTGATCATCTGTTGTCTGGCTGAGAGTTCAAGATGGATCTGGTGGGGAGAACTGAGCAGTTGAACACGGAGCATTTATCTACCAAAGCATGGACTGTTTTCTGTGTGGTCCTTAACAGAAAAAGCTTGCTAAACACAGATCAAAATGGAGGGAAAAGCAGGGAGTGGTTGGGGACATGAACACGTGAGTTCAAATATCCACATTTGTGTGTGTGTGTATTTGTGTGAGTGTGTGTGTGAGTGTGTATGTGTGTGTGTGTGTGTATGTGTGTGTGTGTTTATCCAGGGGTGGCCCCACATATGCTTGTAATCCCATTGGTATGGGACAGAAACAGGAGAATCTAAGGGGTTTGCTGGCTCCAAGTTCAGCTGTCACAAGAGAGTATAGCAGAGAGACCGAGCAGGACATCTGATTCCTTCCCCTGTCCTCTTTTCACATGGGTACACAGACCAACATACATGTGTGTATATAGCACACACACAAATGGAGGAAGAAAAACTATGAGCACGAAAATGTTTATCGGGACATTTACAAATCAGTGTCTTAAATATTTAAAGCATTAAAATGTCAAACAAGCTATGGATATTTACACTATATCCATTTAACCAATTATATCATTTAACCAATAAAAATACAATTCTATAAACTATGTACCAGCTCAAACATTTCTGCTACCTGAGAGGCTTAAAGTAATAAAACTGGTTTATTGTTCACTCCGGTGAACGTAGTAGACACTAGACTTAGTGTTCAGAAGTAGTCTTAGCTGTAGTGCTGAGCCATTTCTTAGTGTTTCTGCAGTACTCTTCTAACCTACTGTGGAGTTGTGCACTGGTAGGCCACAGATTTCATGCAAGCATCTTCTCAGCTTTCCACAGTGGAGGCTTTCTTTTTAACATTTTATATTTCATAGAGACAGTGTGTGTGTCCTTGTCACTCTACAGTAAGTAGACGTGAGCTATGCTCAAAACAGCCTTTTCTCTGACATGAAGCTGTTCACTTACAGATACTCTTGAAGAGACAGCAGAATGTGGGCCCAGTGCCTAGATTCATGGAACATGCAGAAACCCGAGCAACCTGTGGAGAAGCATGTGCCATGTTGTGTTTACTCACATGCTTACTACTCCCCTCAGAGAGGAGAGAGTTGGTCTCCCTTAAACCTTTTCTTGATTCTCTACTGCAGTGGTTTAGAGCAAGACTTGACTTATAGTTTAATTACAAGAAAGTACCCTAGATATACTCATGTTAACACAGCTCACCTGGGTTTTTGACAGTACTTTTTAATTATGTTCTTGTAAACCGAAGGTCCCAGGAAAAAAGCTAGACCCTTGTAGGCTGAAAAGTCTACAAGGCCCAAGGCCTAGTGACAGGTTAGAACTTCATGACTGAGCAGATTTGAGGTGTTGCAGATGCAGCCTGTCTTAGTTAGAGTTTTATTGCTGTGAAGAAAGGAAAACATTTAATTGGCCTGACTTATAGTTACAGAGGTTCAGTCCATTTTTACCATAGTGGGAAACATGGTATCATCCAGGCAGACTTGGTGCTGGAAAAGGAGCTGAGAGTTCTACATCTTGATCCGTGGCAGCCAGCAGGAGGGTCTCTTCCACACTGGGTGAACCCCCACAGTGACACACTTCCTACAACAAGGCCACGCCTATTCCAACAAGGACATATCTCTTAGTGGTGTCACTCCCTGTGGGCCAAACATCAAACACATTAGTCTATGGGTGTCATTCCTGTTCAAACCACTACACAGACTCAGGTTATTTTAGTCTGTCGTTAGCCCTGGTCACCGCCCACGCAGTGTCTGTCTTTTAGGCTCACATAACTTCCCATTCACAGCTGGGTGTGACTTTTGAAGTTTGATGCTTTTGACAATTGGGTAAGACTTTTGAAGTATGTTCTTAGCAAAGCATGAGCTTCCACCAACCCCACAGTTCACACTATTCCCAGAAAACATCTAATACTTATGAAAGCTTCCCATGGTGTGCTAGCCTACTTACCTGGGATCCTCACCAGGAAATTTGGTCACTGCTGACGTACAAATTCCTTTTATTCTGAGTCATGTAACCACTTCCATAGAAGAACATGTTTGGGGCTCCCTGAATCTCTCTTCCCTGTGCTATGATCACTCATTTAACTCAAGGATAAATTGACTCTTCATTTCTTTTGGGTAAGAGCCATGTTTTGAGTCAATGGTTTGAAAGTAATTTCATCTTAATAGTGATCTTGGTTTTGAAATGGGATAAATACAAGCCCTTGGAGAACAGTCATGAGAAAGAAGACTTTGATTGACATGAGCTGGCCGTATTGATACGGTCAGAAGCTGTTGTGTGGACATCAGGGAGTGATGGCAGCAAGCATCACAGACCATTGAGATGTCGCACATGGATTTAATTAACAGTTAAGCTGGGTTTTTTTAATTATGAGTCTGAGTGGTTAGATTTAATTTTGTTAAGTTCAATACTTAACAAAATTTCCATTTGTCCTTTTGGTTCACATATCTCTCCCAGTTATACCAAAACTAGAAATATTCATATTCATGGGTTGCAGTGAGTTCTGGTGCAGTGTTGGGCAGCACATGAGATGAGCTGGGAGATTGGCTGTGTCACTAATGTGCGGTATAACCTTGGATAAGTCCCCGAATGCACCACATTTTCCAGTATGCCCTTGAGGAAGTCTGGTTAGCTATTTTCTCATGTTGCAATTCTGGAGCTTTTTGGTTTGGAATATTCACACAGTCATCTTTTGTTTTTCTGTTTTTAGGCGATGTCCTTGTTGCTGTGAATGATGTAGACGTGACTTCTGAAAACATAGAAAGAGTTCTGTCCTGCATCCCTGGGCCAATGCAGGTGTGGACATCCCTTCCTATGCTGTGTACAGTGTTGCTTAAAGTGCATGCGTTCTGTGCTGTTTCCCTCGTAAGATGCTGGCATTTCCCTTCCATGTAATGGGTGAGTGCCGCTCATACTCGAGCAGCAAGGGCAGCTTCACCTCTTGCTAACACTTGCCTTTGGGGCATTGTTATAAAAGGAGAGGGATAGCTACAAATAAAGCTCATCCTAAGTAAAGAAAGCAGCAGCAGTAATAAAAGTAAACATGATTGCCGTAGAGCACCCATGCTTGCCAGTGACAGCACAGCTCTGAGAAGACTATCTTAAAAGCTGTGGGCCAGGTTTGGTGGTGCACGCCTTTAATCCCAGCTCTCCCAAGGCAAAGGCAGGTATGTGAATGAGTTAGAGGCCAGCCTGGTCTACATAGCAAGTTCCAGGATAGCCAGGACTATGTAGAAACCCTGTATCCCCCCCCCAAAAAAAGTAGATAAATAAATAAATAAGTTATAAGCTTATCTCTTAAGTTATAGAAGTACATAGAAGCTACGTAGCTGTCCTGGAACTCAGAGATCTGCCTGCCTCTGCCTCCCAAGTACTGAGATTAAGTGTGAGTGCCACCATGCCCAACTAGGACTGTTTTTTGTTGTTTCGAATATGGCTTTGATTGTCTCAGAGTTTCCATTACTGTGAAGAGACACCATGACCAGGGCAACCCTTATAAAGGAAAATGTTTAATTAGGGCTGGCTTACAAGGTTCAGAGGTCTAGTCCATGATCAGCATAGCAGAAAGCATGACAACGTGCAGGTAGACTTAGTGCTGAAGGAGCCAAGAGTTCTACATCTTGATCCACAGGCGGCAGAAGGGGACTGTGTCCTAAAATGAACAGAGCTTGAGCATGGGAGACCTCAAAGCCCACCCCGCAGTGACGCACTTATTCCAACAAGGCCACATCTTCTAATAGTGTCACTCCCCATGGGCCAAGCATTCAGAAATACAAGTCTCAGGGGTCTGTATCTTTTCAAACCACCACAAAACCTAACTATAGTATTTTCTCTTAGGCCTTGTAGCTAGGAGTTTAATGGCAGGCAGGAGAGTAGTAGGAGCTTGTGCTGTCCCGTGGCAGTCAGCCAACCATGTGCACTGCTAATACCACTTTCCTTAAGCTCTCTGCCACTGTGAGACAGGCAGAGCCTTATTGTAAGTGATAGCTATAGAACAAAATGGCTTACTTCCTTATAGCCAAGAAGCAGGGGGCGGGGGGGAGACGCTGGATCCAAATGTCTTCCTTAAGGGCATTCCTCCAGTAACCCCACTTCTCCCCGTGCTCTTACAGGCTCTACTAACCCCCAGTGATGTTGCATGCTGGCAACCAAGTCTTCAACATGTGGGCACTAGGCCAGCATTTAAGACCCAATACATAGCATTAGCATCCTGCATCCACAGGCATGTGCCTGTATTACAACGAAAGTGCATTTAGTTCATCCATAAGAATTTCCAAAGCTGTAACAGGTCTCATTGCTCAAAAGCATGAGTCCACAGACTCCTCAAGACTTAATGAAAACGCAGTTGTAGACATCCATCAAAATGAGAATAAACTGCACATTTCCCAGGCGATGCCATGAACATTCTCATTACATAGTAAGAAACAGGGAGAGAATGAGGAAGAGTCAGCCCTAAGCAAGACTAAAGCCAAGCAGCCAGGTCTGCCACCTGAGACATACAGTGGAATGGCGTGCCCCAGAAGCATTGGCAGTCCTGCCCCTGTGGCCCTGCTGGCTGAAGCCCACATGGCAGCTACCCTAGGCTGGCTCCGCTTACCGTCTGCAGCCTCCCTTAGTCAGTGCTCCAAGTCCCTGGTGTTTCTGACTTCCTAACTTTTCCATTTCAGCTTCAGGTTCACTCTCATAACTTCATACACAACTAACTGTAGGAAGCTGCCTACAGAGACTACAAGCCTGCTACACACTTTATGAGCTCCTCCACTTTCCTTTGCGATCTCTGTTGGAGCTTCCCAGGCCCCACGACTCTAGCATTCTGCATGCCTGCAAACTAGCCTCACGTGGCCTGTCATTTGTCAAAATCTTGGTAGCCCCACTTGAGCCATGGCTACAATGCCCCCCCCTTAGCTTTACCAGCCAAACAAGATGAAGAATCCTAGACAAGCAGGATCCTAAACATACCTGTGCAATTTGGGCTTTCAGAGCTGTCCTCTTGAAAGGAGTTATAGTTTTACTATAATCTTGCTTTTGAGCTAAGGGGTGGGGTATGGGAGGGGTCCTGAGATGTTCTCAGAATGTCTTTCTCACTGTCCCAGTGCGAAGTCCTTGGCCTCTTTAGCAGTGCCGATCTCTCCATATTTATTGGCATCTGGCAGCAACTTTAAACATACTCAATTTCTGGCTAAAATGCAAGTTTTTCAAATGTTTCTATATCGTTTCTTGCTTCCAGTTCCCAGTGTTAACCTGGCTAAAATCAGCAATCAACACCCATGCCTGGATGCTGTGTGGCGTTTAGAGTTCCTGTTAGATTAATTAGTCTGACCCCTTTACCTCAGCCTCTCACAGAGTTTGGGTGCATAGGTAAGATACATTCACATTCTTTCCTGTCATGTAAAGAGGTTGAGCTGACACCCAATTACCACTAGAGTCTTAATTTATGCCTGAAACCTAATGAGCCTGGTCTTTGCTGCCTGGATTTTACATTTCTGTCAGGCTTCTGGTTTTCTAAGTCCTTAGCAGAATTGCCGTATCAAGCTGCTTAGAAAAACCAATCTTCTCCATCCCTCAGACAGTTCCCGAAAACCAACTCCCCAGGCTCCTGAACCACATCAGGTATAGATGTCACAGCAACTACTTCTTTTTAAAGTTGCTTACTTTAACAAACAAAAAAACCCCTATTATTTAATAATTTCATGGATAAACACAGTGCTTTTCATCCTGTCTACCCCCATCTCCTCCCTCTCCAGTCTTCCTGGACTGCCCTCCCAGGATACCCTCTCCCAGTCCAATTGGAGCTGCTTGCATGTGCATGGGTGTGGAACATGGTCAACCCACCATGACACCAGGACCAATGAAGAAAGATGACCCTCCTCCCTCAGTGGCCATCAGCTGCCTGTAACTCCTCAGGTGGAGTGGCTCCTCACCCCTCCATGCTGCAATGCAGATTGGCTTGATCCTCTGCAGGTCTTGTGCAAGCAACCACAGTTGCTGTGAGTTCCAGAGTGCAGTTTCTTGTCCAGAAGACACTTAGTTGCAGATCCTCGGCTCTCCCAGCCTTGCTGCCCGCCACCTCTTCTGCAGCACTCCCGAGTGCGGCTTCACTTCTTTAGGCAGATTTTCTTATATCTTAGGTCTTAACCATAAGACACCTGTAAGATTCCAATGGTTAATCTTCTTATTTTATACCTAAAGGAAAGGAATCTGGAGCACCCAGCAGGCTGAGGCAGGAGGATTGTGTGCTATACTAGCCTGTTTAATGAGATCCCAAGAAAGAGAGAGAATTTAGAAATTGCTTAATGGTTTTTCCTAAGTTGCAGAATCAATTATTCAAAGTACTAAATTTTTTCAAACTAACTCAAAGCATGCTCCTTCCTGTTATTTTAACCTGTGTGGATCCTGACATCTTGGTTCCAGACCCGACTGAGATAGGCCTGCCTGAGGCTTTTCGTTTTACTGGTTTGTGACTGTGCCCTGTGTAACAGCAACAGGGAGAAGGAACGAAGGTTTACAAATAATCCCACTAGAGACTTAACCCAAACATACTGAGCGGTGACATATTAAACATGCCCTCAGGGTATGGAGTGTTCTGCAGCTTCTTGTCCTCTAACAGACGCATCAGACCTCCATGTAACACCTCATAGAGGTTCCAGATCTATCGCTCTCCCAACTGTAATCAGAGCGGGTCTAAAGGGATGTCTTAGAATCTAGTTCCAGCTCTACTGATGTGTGCTGATGTGAGATCCCGAGGTACACAAAAACCCATTTTAACATTTCAATACTTGTTTTTCCCCCCTAGGTACTTCCAAAGTGTTACTAGCATGAGGGTGTTGGGGTGTAAGATGATAAAACATGTGCTTAGCATGTGCAAGGCTTAGAAAGCGCAGCACACACACACAGCATCATGAAAAAGAGGCCAGAGAACTACAACATTAAGACGAACTGAACCATGTGTATGACTGCATTGATGTATTAAATAGTATAAGCTGACTATTCCTTACCAAAAATGCTTGCAATTAAGAGTAGGTGAGTGCTGGACAAGGAAGAGAGGGAGGGAGGGAGGGAGGGAGGGAGGGAGGGAGGGAGAAAGACAGACAGAGACAGCAGGATCGTGAGAGCAAGATTGACTCAATTTGGGGGTATTAACGGCTGAACCACCCTATGTAGAGCAACCTGAAACCCTAAAAACCTAAAATCTGAAACTTTTAAAGCACTACATTGATCTTCAAAACATGTGGAATTTTTTGTGGCTAAAGTGGGAAGATTTTTTGGTAGAGGTGAAAGAGGAATTGCTTCTTACATAGCATGGGTTCAAGACAGAAGTGGGAAGGAAATAACCAAAGCCATAAGGTTTGGGAAGGAAGGATGGATTATAGAAATCTCATCCATGGACCTGAGGGAACCAAAGCATTATTACTGAGCCTGGAGGGAAGGAGAATAGGCTGGGCACATTGCACAAGTAAGGAAGCAGGAAATGTGGGGTGCATGTAAGTCTGTGGAAGGACATCAGAACACTAAAAGGAGTTTCAAATAAAGGTTATTAGATACTGCTTAAGAAAAGGTTATCCCTGTAACCACATAGTGCCTTTAAGGTTCTTTAACCTTTGTTTTTAAATGGTGCTTATCTTTTTATTTAGTTATAAATTGCCCCTTATGTTATACCAAGGCAGCTGAATTTCTCAGCATTTATAGTTGCTTATCATATTGGACTTTAGACATCTTTCTGAAGTGTAAGTATCTTTGCATGATGCAACTGACCTTTCTGAAATCAGCGTGGTGCTAAGACAGTTCCTTAAAGACTTCTAATGTGGGACCCTGGGGTGTGTTTCTCTTTGGGTTGGTGTCATGGCAAGTTGTAAAGGTCCCTGCACCACAGAGAAGAGGTGATGGTGTTTACAAAATAGACTATCAAAGTTATTTTTAAAGCACACATGTCACTCTCTACTAGCATAGTGATGTGGTATTAAATGTTAGGTTATTGCTGCTTTCTATAAATTAGCAAATTTTTGAGTTTACTTACTCATTTCCCTGTTGTCATTTTTTTTTGTGAGGGAATAACACCCAATCTTTAAACCTTCCCACTCACAAGAACCCCAGCTGGAGAAGATGCTCAGCCATGCTATGAGCCATGGCTCTTCCTCTGAGGCTCCTTTCTGTGGGTCCTGCTACTGTGAGTACCCCCCCATACACACACACACACACACACACACACACACACACACACACACTGCGCATGTACATACACACCGCAGAATGGCTATCATCTTTAACACTAAATACTACTTACTTGTGTAGCCTGTTTGTGTCTAAACCACAGACCAAGTCATATTTTTGTAACATTTATTTATTATGTATACTTGCTAGAGATCAGCAGATGACCTTCAGGAGTTGGTTCCCTCTTTCTGGCATGTGGATCTAAGAGATCAGCCTCGGGTCATCAGGCATGGAGGCCAGTGTGCTGACCCACAGAGTCCCCTAACATTCAGTTCGCATCTAAGATCCCTAAAACTGGATGCACTCAACTCTTTCTCACTTTAATTATATGTTAATTTTCATCAGTTTAAAAATAAAAAAAAACTTATTCTTACTGTAGTGTTGCTAATTTTTTTTTATTTTTGTTTAGTTTGTTTTTCCACCAACCATATATTAATTTTCTACTCAGACTTTTTTGGTACAGTGTCCAGATACCAAGACCCCATGTTTCCTCATTGTGTTTACAGAAAACCTTTTTTTAAAAAAATTCCATATACACAGGCTTTCCTACTTGGAGTTTCCCTTCCCGCTCTCCGTGTGGGCCCCTTTAGTGTTAGCACACTTCATCTTCTCTAAGTGCGTGCACCTAGATGAATTTGAACTCCTTCCTTTGCTACAATAGATTAGCTTCCATCACTGTAGTAAGTATCTTAGACATTGACTGACAGAGAGCGGTTCGTTCTGGTGTGTAGAGGTTCTTGGCTGTGATAAGCTGTATGTTACTCATCTCGTAGTTGGGACCACACACCTGACCTAATGCAGTTCACAGGAGAGAGGTTCACGTTGGCTCTTGGTTTGAAAGGAGAAAGTCTGTCACAGCAGGAGATGCATGGCAGAGCCCATGGCCACAGGAGCCTATGAAGAGACTCTTCCTTCTGGGCAGTCCAGGAAATGGGAATGCAGGGCTCGGGTGGTTTTTCTTCTTTTCCCATTTGGTTCAATCTGGGACCCCATGCCATGGAATGATGCCTCCCATATCCAAGATGAGCCCTCCCCTCAGTAAACTCTGAGGAACAGGGGTCAGGCTCCTTCAGTTCCCCCAGCCCCTCACTCACATGAAAACCTTCCAGCCACCCACTGGCACTACACCACGGAACAGGCCTTTATCATGTGAATTTTTGAGAACACTTTTCAAACAAAAGAAACTTGCTTACACAATAAATACTGAGTCTTAGAAAAAATGTGTGTGTCTAACTTAGTTCACTGTGGTAAAAGCCACTACCATCTCCAGAGAAGCAAATTGAACACAACCCCAAACACTCACTTCTTTACCAACAAAAAAGGAATACCTAATGTTTTTCTCTTTTGGAAGATTTTTTTCAATATGTTTTATATATTTTTTTCCTTTTAAGCAATATAATACTTGTAGCAGTTAGGTAGGTAGGTTAGGGTTGTAGGGGATTTTGTTTGTTTTGTACTAACAGATTTAATACTTTAAATGAAAGTATATGAAAGTTATTTTTTAAAAGTGATCAAAATGTGTTAGTACTTACCACATACTTGGAATTAGAATGGTACTTCATAATAAATTATTAAAATAAGAATTATTTAGTATTATTTCTAGTCTTTAAGTGTTTTGCTCAAATGTAACTTGCTGCCTTAATACAATGTTACCTGCTTTCAAGCACTAGCTAGTCTTCTTTATTCTTGATCAAATATTAATTATTAATTAATTAATTAGAGAGAGTCTCACTGTATAGTCCTGACTGGCTTAGAACTTTTCGTGTAGACCAACCTGACCTTGAACTCACAGAGATCAACCTGCACTTGCAGGGATTAAAGGGAACAGCCATCGTGCCCAGCTTACTCTTATTTTGAAAGACACCATTTGGCTCTAAACTTAAAACTTTATGACTTTGTTTCCTTTAAAGGGACAGATTTTAAATGTAAAGATTCAGAGCACTGTGTGGCTACTGAGTTTATGATGACATCAGCAGCGTTCATCATATGCTCACACTGGTGCATCTTTGAAATGGGTGGGTTGTTGCTGGCCAGCTGGCACTGGGTAAGTGTCTCTGTTTCCGAGATGAGGTACCTGAGAAGTGGAAGGTGCCTTTCAGCCGCTGGAAAACAGCCACATTCTGGATTCTGACCAATCTTCACATCAGGCTGTGAAATTAAAACTATCCCTGATAATAGTGACAGCTAATCCTCCTAGTGGTGCAGAGTGCCACATGCCACTGACTGATTGTTTGATACAGCTGTCTGTGGTCTTTAAAGGGCTGTAAGACTGTCTGAGAGAGGACTATTTGAAACCTGTCCAATTTAGAAGGAAAGACAACTCCCAGCGTGTGAGGTTGCCCTTGAGCCCCAGACTCTCCCTCCTAACCACATTTAAGGAGTCAGAATCATTAGCTGTAAGATGTACAGTGAAGATGTACAGTGAAACCTACACTCAAGATGTACAGTGAAACCTACACTCAAGATGTACAGTGAAACCTACACTCAGATGATGTGGATTTCTGTTCTTCTGTGGTACTTCTTTGTGTGGTCAGTGACTGCATTTGCATGAATGAATTTTTGTATGGAACACTGTACTTTCCAATCAAAACACACACACACACACACACACACACCAGCGTTCGAGGAGCTAGCAAGGGAACTAACTCACTGTCCTTACTGTTTGACCTTGCTCTGAGGTGCCATCTCCACCCTGTGCACTCCTGGCTATACCTGTCAGTGCATGTTTTCCTTTGTTAAAATAAATAAATAAAATGATATTTGCCTTGTTGAAAACCCAAACATTTTGTTTTCTTCTTTTCAGGTGAAGCTGACATTTGAAAATGCATATGCTGTGAAAAAGGAAACAGCCCAACCAAAAAAGAAAAAGGCCCAGTCGAACACAAATGATTTGGTGAAACTCCTCTGCGGGTCAGAAGCGGATGTGGTCCAGCCCAGTACCCTGAGCATCCCACATATCATCATGTACCTCACGCTGCAGCTCCAGTCAGAGGCAGCCAGGGAGGAGGTGAGTGTCTGCTCACACATGCCGAGTAAGTGGGGAGACCTTCCATCCTGCAACCTTAGACATAAAGAAGAAACAGAAGGGAGTTAGCTGTGCCTTGTCGCTGTCTGCATATCACATGCTATGCTATGCATATTATATGACTTAGCTGTGCCTTACCACTGTCCTCTATGTATCACATGTTACAATCGGTGTCTTAAAATAAACAAGAGTAAGGTGAGTGCACCATTCAGGTATCCTAAGCAACAGGGAAAGACCAAACGCTTCCTTTGTGTCCTTTTGTGGCTTGTAATGTGATACATGCGTTTCCTTGTGTTGTTTTTCTGTCTGTTTAATGAGAAATTGAAAATGGTAAAGATCAGCTCAGTAGTAGATGTACTATTTGGCATTTTCTGTGCTCTGGGAAATACACAGACACTCACTGATAAGAATTCTAATTTCTTACACCTTGCTGGATCCTTGTATCTTTAGAACAAGTGAGACCTTTAAGCATTTATTTTTTTAATCCCCTAAGTTTTGAGATACTGTCCTGAACCCTTCGGAGCCAACCATCATTGCCTATCTCTCCCTGGGAAAACGTGCAGATGCCTTACAAATAAGCAGGCTCCTGAATGTGGCCAGCTCTGTATCAATACCATAATTAGGAGAGGCTCTTTATTCTTACCATGCAGGGTGGAAGCATCTATGAGTGCAGGCTCCTAACAAGGGCTTTAAAAACACAACTAATTAAATTGGCTGGGCACTGCAGAGCCTGCCAGCCCTTCAATACCAAGGCTTTTAAGACTACTATGGAGACTTCTTTAAATGGCCTTTTTTTACTAGTCTGATACTTTACAACAAAATGTCATAGGGTCATTTCTTTCCCTGAGAGTTACATAATTGATACAGCGCTTGTCTTTAAATTACAAGATGGAGACTTGTAAAAAGTTAGTCAAAGACTATTTAAAGCAGCATTTGGTATTTTGACAAAACATAATGGAAGTATTTGTTGGACATGGTTTAAATTTATTACATCTACATCACAGAAGATTTTAATTCATTTGATTTAATTTCCAGAAATAAATAATAAAATTATAAGAAAATACTTTGTAGCTATTTTCACTAATGAAAATTGCAAAACCATTTGAATCATTATTATTCAGTGTATTTGACAAACATATCCCATAGCATATATTGAATAATTTACATATCTTAGGCGTTCTTAATAAGTATAAACAGTAGGTACACACAGTGTGTCATCATCATATCTGTGGTAATGTAAAAGTGTGAATACATGGACCCCACGCCAGGTAACTATTTCTCATATAGATTTTTAACAGTCTTCAGAGAACCAAGGAAAGCTAAGCCAGTGTAATCTGCAGGAACGTGTACTTCCTGTTCTAGCAATTGTAGCGATTAGAGCAACTAGAAGTTACTCTCAGTTCTATATGGTTTCTATTTAGAAGTTTTATTTTTGTCTGATTTTTAACTTGCTGTGTGAGAAAATTAGATGCTGCCTACGTCTCAGCAGGAAGCGAGGCTCCCGCTGCCCACCTCTGCTTTTGGAGCCTCAGCACACTGGAGCTCCTACTTGGAGAGTCGTTATTTATTTCTGTTAAAGCTCTCTGTTTCCTGGAAATAGGTTCTCACTGAAAATAGAAAAATATTCAGCATTTTGTAAATTATCCTGTAAATTAGCATTTTCTGTAATTTAAAATAAAACATGCCTTGTCATGTAGATTAATTTGTGCTAGTTAAACTCTCTCAGATTTAAGCCAGAGATTTTATAATCCTGTGATACTTTTTTTCTTCCTATTTGAACTTCTTCAGTTTTGTATTCTCACTTTGTAAATTAAGCAAGCATTTAATAACATCACCAAAAAAGATGATTATCTTTTAAGGTTCAGTATGAAAGAAATGAAAGACACCTATGGGTTTCCTGTGGGGATTAAAGCTTAAAGCACTATTTGAAATAAGTAATTTCAATTAACTGTGTAGAGTTCTGTCTGTGTAGTCTCTAACCTGACTTTCAAGTGTACCGTTTGCAATGCTTGTTGAAGTGTTAACATACCAGGCATACCTTTGTCCTTGTGTCTGAATGAAACTCTGACTAAAGCTGAAACTGAAAGGACTCTTGTTTTGTCCTTAATACAAAATCTGAACTTTCTGGCCAAGTGTTGGTTGGAGTGTCTGGGAGGCTTATCATCTGTTTCCTTTCCCCAACAGCAGGAAATTCTTTACCATTATCCAGTGTCTGAAGCATCTCAGAAACTCAAGAGTGTGAGGGGGATTTTTCTCACACTCTGTGACATGCTGGAAAGTGTAACTGGGACACAAGTCACTAGGTAATAATGTTTATCTCTTTCTTCAAGTCCTCACCTTTAGTTATCTCTGATAAAAACCTTTTCCATTTGTTTTGGCCAAACATTGATTTTTATCTACCTCTTCATCTGAGGGCTGCTAGTGGAAGACTGGCTTCCAGGCAGACAGGATGAGGGTCTTAAAGCCCGTGCCCACAGTGACACATCTACTCCAACAAGGCTACACCTCCAAATAGTGCCACTCCCTGGGCCAAGCATATTAAAAACCATGACATATATTCAGAGATATTGGCCATGATCAATGTCAGAACATTTTATTCACCTTAAAAAGAAACCCTGTGCCCCTTGTCATCCTGGACATCACAGCTCAAGCCCCAGGTACCCACTGGCTTGCCTGGTAGAGATTCCTACAGTAGACATTTGAAATGCATGGAACCATAAAATGAATGCACATTTGTTTCTTAAAAACACTTTTTAAATTGTCTGCGTGTTTGTGCATCTGTGTCTGTGTGTCTGTGTGTGCCTCTGCAAATATGAATGCAGTTGCCTACAGAAGTATCAGATTCCCTGAAGCTGAAGGCACCCATGTGTACCTGATCATGAGTGCTGGGAACAAAACTTGTTCCCTGGAAGAGCAGCAAGTGCTCCTAACTACCAAACCATCCCTCCAGCTCTGGAGTAATGTTCTTAAACAAAATGTAAGGTTTTTCATGTAGGTTTGTTCTTTTTCTTTCTCTGCTGTGTAGGATGGATGCTATTTCACTTAATAGTTAGATCTTGTCAGTAATGGTAAGACATGAGGTAACCTGTGCAAGCAGTAAGGACAACTAGGAAAACCTTTTTGAGGAAACAGTAAATGTGAAATGTCTTCAGGGTTCTTTAACAATACCTGTTTCTTGTTGCACATTCTTTTTTAAAAATTGTAATAATATTAGTATGATATAAAAGAGACTGATATTTGCCTAAAAGTATGTGTACTTTTAAATTTTAATGTAAAAACAATATTCTGTATGAAAAAAAATCTTTTTAATAGTTCATATTTAAATTACACACACTTGCGTCTCTGTGTTTCCCTAGTTGGTTATTGTATTTCTTTTGAGAAGGTATCTAATCATTTGCAGCTGGGTGAAGTATAATTAAGAATACTTTGGCCGTGCATGAAATGTATATACCAACAGCCTCTGACAGAAGCGCTCCCTCGTAGCCACCACATAGTGTGCACGTGCTCCATCCAGGAGTTCCTTGAGCGCCTATGTGTACATGACTCAGGTTCCATCACTTGCCTCTAACCTGTGTCTCATATTGGGCTGTCAGCCTCCAGGTTCAATCACTGTTTTGTTTTCTTTATAATCTCCTTAGCGATTATGCCCATACATGGGCCATCCCAAAGAGTCTATGAAGTTAATGAGCTAGGATGCAAAGTCTTATAAAAATATCCTAAACTATGTGTAGCTACCTTGTGTCAACAAAACATTTCACACATACCCGAGTTCCGGACAGGGTCTCACTCTGTAGCCCTGCTGGCCTGGGACTCACTATGTCACTCAAACTGGCTTCAAATTCATAGCAGTCCTTCAGCCACAGCCACAGTCTCCTGAAAGCCAGAATTGTAGACATGCGATGATTCTGCTTTTGTGTGTCCTGAAGGTTTGGAGATAATTCCAAATGTATTTTTGTTGTTACAAAACCGCTGCCTTTTCTGTGTGACAGTTAGGTATGTGGCAAGAAATTTGCTTATTAAGCAATTCAGATCTTAAATTAAACCATGTGTAACCTATTAAGGATATTTTTATAACTTCATAACAGTTAAAGATATCCTAACCACATCTTGAATTTATGTTTTTTCTTAGCTCATCCCTCCATTTAAATGGGAAACAAATTCATGTTGCTTACTTGAAAGAGTCTGACAAGTTGCTGTTAATTGGCCTGCCTGCTGAAGAGTAAGTTGGGATCTTTTTGTTTCCCTTTAAACAACAGTTCTGAAACTATGGCAACAGCAACAACAAAAAAGTAAAATAACGTAACAAGGCCTGCCTCATTACAAGCATGGCCTTTTAGTCAAAAAGCAAACTCCCTGTGATGGGTTCATGATCCCAAGGCTGCACTGGGGACATATTGTATTATTACCCATGCTTTGGGGCTGTCAGTATTGACAACACAGAGGTAAAGGGCTGGGGTGTTTTCTTCCACTCCGACTTCACAAGAATGTGCTTTGGATTTAGTGAGCTCCCATTTTATTCATGCTGGAGGATATGGGGTGCGGGGCGGCGGGGGTGGGGGAGTCAAGGCTCAGCACAGGGTATTTTTCCCAGATATTCGATACTTTTGGTAAAACAGTGACTCTGCAATGCCAAAATGACTTCCTACCTCTGAGTGACCTCACTAGTTGGTGAAGCACCCTTTACCACTCTGCCCGCAGCTGACTAAACCCTACAAATATACATGTGTAAAGACATCTTGCTTCTTTGGGGGGTCATTGTCATCAGATCATGTCACAAATGAGTAACTGCATTTTTTTCTTTTAAGAGTTCCTCTTCCCCAGCTAAGGAACATGATAGAAGACGCTGCCCAAACCTTAAAGTTCATGTATGGCTCTTTAGACAGGTGAGTGTTTCTCTAGAGTCTGTGTCTTCCTCTGTGCCTGACGGCCTCTTGCTTGAGAAGTGGACTTTTTTGGTTTATTCCTTGCCTTGTGACAGTTCCCTCAGGTTTGTTTGTTTGTTTGTTTTTAATTTTTATTTAATTTAACTATGAATTAATTTCAGAGACAGGATCTTGCTGTGTATGTAACTCAGACTGGCCTGGGCCTTCAGGTGCTGGGGCTGTAGGTATGAAGCGCCACATGTGCCTTAGAGAGCCCGTGATGCTGTTTCTCCTTCCACACTATAGCCTGTAATGAACCATGCAGAAGCTCATATCAACTACTAGTTAGCACAGGATCTAGTGATTACAAGTCCTATATTATGATGTATAGTGACCAGTACATACTGGTTCTTTTGTTTAGAGGCAAATATATAGCACATGTCTATGTAGCATATAGACAAGAGTAAGATTTTCAGTAATTTTTTTTGTTTTCTTTGCTATCATACCGCCCCAAAATGTTTCTTAATTCAAAAATGTAATCAGAAATGTGCATTTAGCTAGGCATGGTGGCTCATATCTGTAAACTCAGCATTTGTGAGTCTGAGGCAGGAGAATTACTGTAAGTTCAAGGCTGACCTAGGATATGTAAGTAGTTTTCAGGCCAGACTGAGTTATAGACCTTGTCTCAAAAAACAAACAAAGCAGTTAGCAGGAATCAGGTGCACAGTACGGAATGTTAAGGAGCAGTGTGTATTCCTTTGTGTAGTCTCTGCAAAACACGAGCGTGCATTCCATTTCATGTGTATGTTCTGCTTCTCTTATCTCATGAGTTTGTAGTCATGTTCACTCTTCATGACCCTCTGTCACCTCCTTCTCCTCCTACTGAAACCCTCTTTCCTCCCAGCAAGCCCCCTCCTGCTTCGATCTCTTTCGTGTGACCCACTGAGTTTATTAGGGTTGCTTACTCAAGCTTGAGCACTGTCAGGGACTGTTTACTAGAGCATGGACAACTAGAGCAGTGGCTGCCCCACTAAAGCAGCATCACCTGCCACAGTCCCTCACGGTCCCTCCTCATTCCATGACGAAATGCCTACAGTGCATTCCTGTACAGGTCTTATGCAGATAACCATAGCTGTAGTGAGTTCAGCGAGCAAAGGCCTGACTGGATCCAGATAACATGTCTGTGCTGCACGTCTCCCTCCACACCTCTGTGTCTCACCTTCTCCTGAGATGTCACCTGAGCCCTGGAGGGGGTGATAGAGATATCCTATAGGGTCAAGCGCTCAACCGTTGCTCATTCTTGGTGCTGTGGCCTGTTGCAGGTGCTTTTGGTTTTTAGCCTTATAGTATAATGTGATACAGATTTCTTGATTTGAAGGGGAAACTGAGGTAACTGTTAACCATTTGAATGTACAGTACTATGCCTGGAAAACATTTTTCTCCAGTGGGATCTCTGCAGATTTTAGTGCCTCTGGGGATGAAAGTGATACCTCTGCCCTGAACACCAGAGTATACCAGTAGAGAAACTGAAAGATAGTTTATGAATTTTTCCAAATGTGGTATCTCTCTCTGATTATCTATGGAGACACTTTACTGGAACTGTGCTCAAGGAATCAGGGATGACCTTCTGTGATTGTGTTAATATGGACAGATCATTTGTTTATATCACGGTCTCTGGTAGAGGAACCTGTTAGGAGGCACATCCCCCAGACTTGATTACTTATGAGGAACTTCCGAATAATTTAGGTACAAAAGGCTGGTCATCCAAACATAGTGCCTTTTCCCTTTCCTAATATGATTTAATCAATGAGGAATGAGACCATGGTATTAATTGCCTTTTTAAAGTTCTATTAGAGTGGCAGACTTTGCTGTGTTGTACCCTAGTTGAGCTGTTTGCACAAACAGAGAGATTATCAAGGGTCAACTTTCTTCGATGGATTTCATGCATGTCAACAAACTACTGAAGTTGTTGTGTGGTCCACACGGTAGGGTAAGGGCGGAGGGACCTAGTTTCTCTGCACTTCACCTTCTATTGATAGGAAAGTTTCTCTAGAGTAGCAGCAAATTTAATTAATTTTTCCTTGTTCAAACAGGAATTTGAAGGGCAAACTAAGAAAACAAATGGGGTATGTCTGTGTTCTTTAAGAAGCACAGAGACGTAAGCAGTTACTAACAGACTTTTTGTAACAATTCTTAATTAAGCTTTTTTCTATAAAAAGATTTCATAAAGGTTTTTCAAAGGTCCAAAGATTTAGTGATCATTTAAAGTTGTGAGCAAGTTCCTATTAGTGTTTTGATGGAACTAAAGCTATATTTCCTTGCTCTGTCCCCTAGCTGTCTACAGTGCCTGTCCGCTCTACCCATTCCTCTAGGTATTCACCATTTTCCTACCTAACAGCTGCTCTGTGGTACTATAGTAGCTGTTTCTGGATCTCCGTCTTTATTCCTGCTGCATTAATTAATTTCCATAAAACAGTTAGAATGGCCAGCATTACTACCTGGGTCCCACCTACCTACCTACCCGTCTGATCAGATCACACACCACGCCCACCCCCTGCTTATACATTGGCAACGTTTGCCCCACCACAGACTCTGCCCTCTTCCCTCCTGCTGGGTCTTCTTCATACAGGGATATCAACTTAAATGGCCTATGTTCATAGTGTTTCTTAATCATTTCCTCCAGAACAGCAAGCTGACTGGGCAGGAAGTTGCATGCTTACAGTTGAAGCAATTTGGGAAGCTGAAGGGACATGTGACCTCACACATTCAGGCAGATCCTCTCTTTAAAGTAAAAACGTGAATAGAACACCTGACCGTCTAGCCAGCCATCCGCCGTCTCCTTGCCCTACTCTGTCAGCTTGTGTGCTCAGCAGTCATTGTCTTTTGTCTGATTCTATTGCTGTACTCCTGGCAAAGAGAATGGTGGCTGGAATAAACTAGACACTTAAATATTTGCAGGAGGAGTCAGTGAATGTCACTTCTGTGCGATGCAAGCCAGCCATTGTGTCATCTTATGAGCTGGTCCAAGGAACAGTCTTGATTAACATGCTCTTGCTTGTCTAAAATCAGCTGTTTAACCTCTCCAGTCCCCTCTGTTTCTCTGTATCCCTTCCTTTCTCCTTCCCTTGCTCCCTCCAATGCTGCGCCTCGATGAGGAGAAAACAACATAGCTCCGCATTTTGTATTTCCCGTATTCTCATAATAAGCACCATAAGAAGTTGTGTAGGGAGTGCTAGGTGATTTGAAGGTGAGTTGGGTCACATTAACCCAAGTTTTAGGTTGGAAACCAAAATTCAGAGAGAGGCCTGTTGATTGGCCGTATGAGAGTTGCCTAGTAAGAGCAATTCAAAGCTCAATCTGTTGTACTGCAGCATGCAGAATCTCTTTCTTATCCTCCATTACCTGAAAGACTCAGGGAGCTGTAAATGGTTGGAAGGTAGAGAGGAAGGAAGTGTGTACTTTGGCCCTTTTTCTTGTGCACATGGCCCTGTGTTGGCCCAGCAGTTCTTCGCTGGTGTCCTCTTGCTAAATGCAGAAAGTGTATTAATGCCCTCCTTCAGTCACCCCACAGCAGTAGCCGTAACTATAGGAACAGGAGGAGGGAGCGTCAGTGCTGGGGCAGAGCCAGTCCCCTGAGCTAGTGCAGGTCATGGACCTCTCCACAGCTTGGGCTCACTTCCAGTTCCTGCTTCTCCAGTGCCTTCTGCCAGGTTGAGAATGCGCCCCGTCTGGATCATTTCTTCAGCTTGTTCTTTGAACGAGCTCTTCGGCCCGGTAAACTACATCTCAGCAGCAGCCCCAGCGCCCAGCAGTACGATGCAGCCAGTGCTGTGCTTTTGGACAACCTCCCTGGAGTCCGTTGGCTCATACTTCCACAGGAGCTCAAGGTAATCTTAGGGGTCCACCTAAGAATCAGAACCATCCACCTTGTTCTAAGCCCGGAGCAGTCTCGTTTCCTTTGTAAAATAGTTTTTTAAGTTTATACTTGGGGCATGCCTGCCACCATGGTATGTGCAGGTCATAGGATAGGTTAGTGTGCTTGGTTCCCCTCCGCCTCTGTCTAGGTTCCAGGGCTGAGCTGGCCCTCTTCTCCCTTTCTCTTTGGAGAGTATGTGTGTGTGTGTGTGTGTGTGTGCATGTGGTGTGTGTGTATGTGTGCATGTGGGGTGTGTGTGTGTGTGTGTGCATGTGGGGTATTTGTGTGTGTGCATGTGAGGTGTGTGTGTTTCACGATTATAAGTGACAACTGAAGAAACTGCTGAAGTAGGAGATCCAGTGACATAAACTTCAACAAATGATCCTTAAAAATAGAAATTGGTTCTCTCATCATATTTTATATTTAAGCTTTCCAAACTCAGAATTTTTGTCAAAAATCTAGAATGTCTTACTTGCAATTTTGTGGCTCTGATTTTACAACACAAGGTCAGCTTTTGTACCTGTCCAGATTAAAGCCGTGGATGGAGGATTACTTCCGTGATACTAGTAAAAGACTGTGACTAAACAAAGCCTTTGGTGGTCTGCATTCACTGCATTAATATGATTCTTAAGAATATAAGGTCCACTGACAGCAAATAGCCCTTGTTTGTTTTTGATTCTGAGCTTTAGCCTCCTGCATCCAACATTCACGTTCTACCTTTGAACCACATTTCCAGTTCCTTGCTATGACCATAGGTGTTTAGATTTTGATTTGTTTCATATACAGCTAAGCAACACAGGGCTTCTCGATGCTTAGGTGTTTTCAGTATGACTTCATGTTTATCCACCATAAGTAACTTTATACAACTGACAAGACCAATTCAGAAACCTTTAGTGTGGCACACCGTTTAATCCCTTTACTTATAGCATTTTCTCAGTATTAAATGAGGTGACACTGTATGGCCACCTGTATGGCCACCTCTCTGCCCATGAAAAACCCAGACTGTGTTACTGGAACAATCCCCAAGATTCTGTTCTTCATGAAGTTCCTCAGCATATGCCCAAGTGACTGACAGTTTACTCCTGATCCTTTAAGTCGTTTGTGGAGATGGGAGAGCACTCAACTGTGAAGTGGGGAAGGGCGCACTGTGACTGCAGTCACAGCTGTGGAGGCTCCGTTACATGGTTCTTAGCTGGAGCTGGGGGTGTCAGCTCATGTATACAGGACATTTACCTGCTGATCTTCTGTTTTGTCCTGGTTCTGTGCGTTGACAGTCTCAGGCTAAAATGACTATCTGCTTTTTTTTTTCTTGTCCTACAACTTGACCCTAGGAGCAAGCCCATGCATGCTGGCCAAGTGTTCTTTCTGCCACTGAGCTACATCCCCTTACAAGTGTCAGTCATATCAGGTGGCTGGAGCACAACTACTTTAAGCTTATCCCCGACTAGCTTACGAATATATGAGATTCAGACTATGGTTATTTTATCTGGCTTTAGCAATTACTTTTCTAACTGCTGGTCTGGATACATCCCTGTGGTGTGACCCAGCCACTTGCTGTTTCTCCTGGCCACGTGCTCGTGGTTCATCTCTCTTCATGACGGCTTCCGCCTCTCCATCCATTCTTCCTCCTTCTCTTCCCAGTCTGTTCTCTCTCTTCTTGTCTGTCTCTCCCTCTCCCTGTCTCTGTCTGTCTATGTCTGTCTCTGTCTCCTTCTCCACCCCTAACCAGCCCCTAATCCCTCCAGTCATGGGGGGGGTAGCCCATTTTATTTAGCCAATAGTTTTAAATCAAGGAGCAAGGTTTGCACAGGTAAAGCTTGTCAATGTGAGAAGTGGCTCTAGGCCAGCTTCCTTCAGAATTTAGCATTGAAGTACATATCGGCAGACCAACCCTCAACAGTTGGCCACACCAGTGCTTTCAGGAGAAAACACAACTTTTTGACATAGGAAATAACTACACAATGTCGCCTTTAAGATAGAAGGACCCTGGCTTCAAAGCCTATCTCACGGCCACTGCGAGTCTTTTTACCTTGGAGAAATACAAGCCCACCAGATCCCTTTATAATCCCAAGGTACCAGTGAGAGCTGACGTTCTGGCTAAGAGTCACCCCAGTCTCTTGCCCCTGACTCATAATTGGTTCTCTCTTAGGAACTCCATCTCAGCTTACCTTGTCTTCTTTTCTTGCACAGTGTCTCAGTCATTTTATTTTAAATTTTCTGGCTGTTAATTCTAATATCTTAGCCGTGTCTCCTTTCAGCCACATCTTAGCTGACACTTTCTACCCTAAATTTGTGGGCTTGCTGTTTGATGCCTTGTGATCCATTTTTCTTGGTAGTTGGACATGTTGTATATGAGAAAGTATCATCAGATATAGACCCTGATAATGAGGTGACCAAGAAGTGCTGGGAGGGGAAGCACTCTTAGTCTGTGGTTAGGGCTCAGCCAACCAGAGAACCTGCAGATTGTTGGACTGTGGACCTTAGCATCGTTTGTCAGGCTTCCTCTCCCCTCTGCTGGGGCAGGCCAGCTAGCTAGCTAGTGTGAGCTGGACTTGGGCATTTCCCTCCTCCCACATAGGAGGTTACACAGTCTTCTTCTGCACTGAGGAAGGCTATTACTGACTGTGTTCACCCCTAGTTATGCCACATCCCATGGGGTTGTTCTATAGTTAACTGGTTTCTCCATGGGACATGCTTTTTAAAGAAAGCCCAGTGCTCTAGAGTATGGCTCCCTGGTTCCCTTTCTTTCCTAGTGTTTCCTAGAGTCTGGAGAGTATTTACTATGGCAACTTGGTTAGGCTCCTGGTGAGAAAACTCACAAAAGCTTGGGGGACCCAGAGGCCTGGGATTCCATGAGCTACAACTATGGAAATTGTCCACATGGAGGCTCTGGCAGCTTGCCAACTACAGTGCAGGTTTTGTTGTGCTGGCCCTGACTGTGATGGTGGCTTCTGCAGCTGTGAATGTCTGTCTGTCTGTCTGTCTGTCTGTCTGTCTGTCTGTCTGTCTGACTGTCTGGTCTTGGAGTCAGCAGTTTGCTGTGTTCTTACTCATCTTTCAGACACAGAAGAGTTGACTGTTTATTCTGTTGAGCCTTTGACTTGTTTGGGCTGAGTACCTACTTCAGGCTTTCTGCACATGTGACCAGGAACCAGAAGCCCCAAAGCTTTTTTACCAAAAAAGCTAGAAGAATCCTTTCTTCTTTTCTTTGAGATTTTTCACTCTTAGATTAGTAGCTTTTATTGACAACCTATCTTCTAATGAATATAGTAAGGAACTTAATCCCATAAAAAACCTCAGGTATAAAAAGTAGTGAGTCAGATTGGCAGATGTTCAGTGGAATATTTGGTTTTAATTTGGGAACAGTTTGTTTTGTGTTTAGTATTAGATGTGATTTCCCTTCGGTTTTCTTTCCCAGGTATTTGAGAATTTTTCAGTCATGTTTCCTTTGGGAACACTGACGTTGTTAGAGGGACAGTATCTCACCTATGTTAATAGAAACAGTTTGTTAGTCTCATATCAGCCCGGAGACCAAGTAAAGGGAAATTCATAAGTCACAAGTATTTGGTCTCTTTGTCTGACAGGTTTTTTTTTTTTCAAGGTGAAAGGTTCTCACCAAACAAGAGAACACAAAGTATTTGCTAGATGCAAGAAGACATGGGTCACAAATGAGTAATAAGTCACACTGTGTGAGCGTGTTGAAAGGCATGACTAATGGCTCAGGAGCTTTAGTCAGCTCAGTACAACACAGTGTGAGACAGCCCCACAGAGAATGCCTTAGCCCGTGAGAGAAAGAGGGTTGGGGGAGAAAAACGGGGATCCTTATTTATACATCATGTGTATGCTACGTATTTAAGTGACTATTTTTGTATGTATACACATTTGTGCATTACAGGTTAATTTTTCTCTGTTTTTAAGTTGTGGATGCTTTAAGAAAAAGTTCCAGCAATTTCCATAGAAACAAAAGCCAAATCCTATGTAAAGATTTTTGTCTAATAACTCTGTGGGGAAGTTCAGCTCTGCCAGATCCCAGGAGAACTCCTGCCTTGATGTTATAATCTGAATAACGATAGGCAATGCTTTTATTCAAAACATTGTTTCCAGGAGAGAGACAGGGAAGAATGTTGGTATTTTCCAAGAATTGAAAAATACACAGGAAGCAGAAAAACGACCTAAAATAGGTTAGCCACATTAATAGTTATTTTTCATTTTGCTTTGAGATGTTAAAAAAATTAACTTAAAATAAGAAAGTAGTTTTTTAATCTCATGAATTGTTTTGTGTTGAGGCTTTTAACATTTTTGCAGCAACTTTTAATAAAAAAACACTTTTGTTAAATAAGTTACTGTTTTATATTTTCAAAGCTTAAAAATAACATATTCCCTTTTGCAATATTTCTTAAGTATTGCTACAAAGAGGAATATGTGTTTAATCTTTCAAGGAGTTCAGTGCTCCTTCTTGTGTTCACACAGGTGGAACTGGACACCACACTGAGTGACCTTGAGGCCGCTGACTTCGAAGAACTGGTAAGAGGAAGGGGATTTCCACAGAGGCACAACATTGAACTCCAGTTTGTAGTCAGTCATTCTGAGCAATTGACAAGTGGACTTAGAGCAGTATTCAGCCTCTGGGTTGACAATGGCAAATGTCTACTTGCCCCAAGGCTTTGTATTCAGCTGCAGACATCGGCTGCACAGTGATTACCTAACAAGTGCTGGGGCTTCATGAGGACAGAGATGGAGACAGTGATGATTTGAGAACACTGTGCGTGTGAATTTAACTTAGACCTGGAAATGTAGCTTTCAACCTTTTAAATTTCTAGTTCCTCGGTCCCCCGATGAAAAATCCAGCAGATAAGTTGTCACCAAAAGGGGCTAGGTTCTTCAAGGTGACACAGAGATGACAGAAAGACAACAGGCAGCACATTGCGTGTACTTGCCTCGACTTCTTTATCTGTTGCTGTGATAAAATGCTCTGATATTAAAAGAGAGGGTTTATTCTGGCTCGTGGATCAGGTTGCAGCCATCATGGAGGAGAGTCCCAGCAGCAGGAGACTTGGGGACTGGTTGCACTGTGACCCAGTCAGATGTCGAGCAGAGCATGTATGCACACAGTGCTCGGCCTGCTCTCTATTTATATGGTCCTAGAACCCTGTGTAGGGAGTGGCCCTGCCCACTATTAAGATGGGTCTCCATATGCCCATTAAGAGACTCGAGAGAATCACCCCAAGCATGCCTAGAAGTTTGCCTCCTGCATGATCACATGATTTAGATTCCTAAGTTGGCAATCAACGCTGTTGACAGTGTGGAAGCACACAAACCACCCAGGAAATACTTGGATGGAGCATGAGCTCATCTGACACCCTTAAGTAAAGGGCAATCAAGACTATGTGTGGACGGGAAGTTGTAACCAGTCAACTCCAGACTGGGAAACATGGGATAGTTTCTCTCTATAACAAATAAATCACAGAAAGATGGACGGAGGCAGAGGCAAGAAGAGAAAGATCCTGAAAGAGACTTAACCATGTGACCCAACCTCAGTGTGCAGTCTTCCTTGGCTTCTCATCAAACAAGTTTGTTTAAAATATCCATGAGGCAGGTCATGGTGGCACATACCTTTAATCCCAGCACTAAGGAGACAGAGACAGTTGAATCTCAAGTTAAAGATGGACCTTGATTACACAGTGAGCCCTGTCTGTAAGTAATATATATATAAATAGACATCTGTGAGACAATTAAGGAAATGTAGTGCTAATGGCTGTATATAAGACAAGAATAAATCCTTAAATAATGGCATTATAGCTATATATACATGTATATACAGCTCTGTGTGTGTGTGTGTGTGTGTCTGTGATGTGTGTGTGTTAAGATTTCTTCTGTTTTAGAGTACTTTTTTGTTTGTTTGTTTGTTTTTGTTTTTCAAGACAGAGTTTCTGTTTCTCTGTGTAGCCATGGCTGTCCTGAAACTTACTCTGTAGACCAGGCTAGTCTCAAACTCAGAGATAGCCTCCTGTCTCTGCCTTCCAAGTGCTGGATTAAAGGTGTGCGCTACTACTGCCCAGCCAAGTACATTATTTTTTTAATTATTTTATTTTATTGTATTTTATCTTATTTTATTTTATGTGTGTATCTGAGTGTATGTCTGTAACATGAACATGTTTGATCCCATAGAAGCCAGAAGAGGGTATATGATTCTCTGGAACTGGAGTTGCAGGTGGTTGTGCTCCAATTCTGTGTATTGAGAACTGAACCTGGGTCCTCTACAAGAGCAGTAAGCTCCCTTAACCACTGAGTCATCTCTCCAGCCCCTTAGAGTACACTCTGAAGTTACTTACTGAAAAAGTGTGTCTAGGATTGGTTAGAAATAATTTAGTAAGAGAGAGGGAAAGAGCAAGATATGAGGAAACAATATGAACCTGTTTTGTGAAATAAAAAAGGCATTGTCCCACACTATTCTCTGTCCCTGACAGTGTCACCACCTCCATGGCTAGCCCCAGGCAGTACCCGCCCATCTCGTAGTTCTCTTGCTGTGGATTGTGCTCACATTCCCAGCCCGTCCCCTGTAGTTAGCCATCACAAATCCCTGTAAATGGTAAAATCAAAACTCTAGAAGCTTGTAATTTATCAGTCAGATTTATATCAGTAAATTCTTAACCCACAAAACACCTGCACACTGAACTCAAAAACTCAATAGATATAAACACACTGCACACCCAGATGGGACAAATGCACCCTACTTATTATTTAACCGTCTACCTAAGAAATCCCCAATCCTTGTGGCTCCCAGGACTGTGTGGTTCTGGCTCCTCTTCCTATAGGTTCTATCTTATCTCCATCTCTCTGTACTCTCTGTACTTGTCTCTAAAATTCTCAGCCCCCCTTCCTTTTCCACTGCCCAACCACAGGCCTTATCTTGTGCCTGCCCTCACCTGCATACAGGGTGGACGGGAGCATGGAGGCCAAAATGTAGGTAGTAGAGGAGGCCCCGGGTTCAGGTGGAAGATCCGTTGGGATCTGCTACCGGAGTATTTAACTTAGAATGGCTTACAAATCAGGATGCTAGTTGTTGCATCCAGCAATTGTGTTACCTGTTGATCCTAAACTAAGTTTGCGTGGTGTTTTCCTTCACGAAGTGACTCAACTCGGTTCCAGAGAGAAAGGTATGGAGGCAAAGCATGGGTTTGTAAGAAGTGTACACCAAAAAGCCATGGGAATTTGGAAGCTTGGGGCTGGCATGGCAGTGACCCACCATGGGGACTTATGGAGCCAGGTGGAGAGATTTTGGAGCTCTGGGTCAGAGAGTCTGCCGAGACGAGAACAAGCTGGCCTGCGTGCCAGTGCCTTGCTGGCATAGCGTGGATTGCATTTTTAATATTTCATGCTGCATGAACCCACACTCACGTACTCAAACTCAGGCAGTGACAGACACGAAGGAGCTGAGGACGCTGTTCTTGTTCATCTGACTTACAGTGCCCCTGCCTCAGCCTCCTGAGCTCTGTGCTTACAGACATGTGCCACAGTGCTTGGCTCTATTCAGTCCTCTTGTTGCTGAGTAGCAGAGTATTGTATGGATGTAACAGTTTCAAAGACACTTAAGCTGTTTCTGATTTTTTTTAATTTCCTCTTCGTTCAGTATAAAATTAGAAGATGGATGTTACAGGAAGAGACAAAGACAAATAATATCTCTTCATTCTTTCCTGCTGGCATCACAGGTGTAACTCCTCTCAGAGTTTGGAATGGATGTTTCTAAACTTTCCTATATCCTTACTTTCCTACACAAAACCCCACATGTATAGTCATAGATATTGCAGGTAGCTGTAGGATGGTGCACACTGTCTGTTCTGGAACTTCCATTTTCCACACCCTGTAACTTGTATGCCTACACTATTCTAAGACCTGTGCTGTTCTTTGACACGGCATCAAACTTAGATGACCATCCCTCCATCACTGAGTGTGGCGTTAGCTATAACTTCTCTGTATTCACTTTTGACCTTTACAAAAATGTCTTGATTCACTGAGACATCTTGTGGATCCCTGGAAGAAGGATTATTCAAAAAGTATGTGTGTGCAGAGTTTTTTGAATAACACTCACTCTCCCACAAACAGAGTGTGATAATTTGTGCTTTAAAAGTAGTGCATGGTAATATTGGATATTGTGAATTGTAATGGGAGCTTTCCTGTCACAACAGAGTTATTTTCAAAGTCCCTCGTGGAATAGCAAATGCTGTGTGTTCTACTATGTTGTAGGACCACAGATAAAGCTGTCAGACAAGTAAACACATGGGTCTTTTACCTCAGTCCTCTAGCACTGATGTCATAGGTACTGTAACAAGTTGTTTTTAATGAATATAATCTTTACTTGAACTATTGCAATGCAACTAGAATATTTTTTATCTTCTGCATAAAATGAATAAATAAGTACTAATTATAAATCAACTGTGAATTTCCCCCCAGTCTGAGGATTACTATGACATGAGACGGCTGTATACAATTTTGGGGTCTTCTCTGTTTTACAAGGTAAGTTGAAGCTTAAAAGATTTATCAATATCCAACTGCTATATACATAGAGCTAAAGTAGATATTCTCAAACTTTTACACGCATGGAAGAAATGTTACCACTTTGCAGACAAGACTATGATCTAGGAATAAGACCTCAGAGATTTGTAAATACAGTAAATATTCATGTTTTACTGTATGCTAAGGCATTTCCAAGAGTGCAGAAGTGAAAGAATACTTAAAATAAGATATATAAGACAGAAGAGCATTATGTTCCTTTCTTCAGAATTTTAAAAATTATGTTTATTTAATGTGTGTGTGCATGTGAGCCCCACAGAGCATATGTGAAGGCCAAGGTCAACTTGAAAGAGTTGTTCTCTCCTTCTATGTGGGGCTCCTGGGATCAAACTTGGGTCATCAGGTTTGGTAGCCAGTGTCTGCAGAGCTGTCTCCAGCAGTAAGTATATTGTTAATATCCTCTTGCAGTGATGTTCTTGCTCTTTTAACCTCTTCTTCAGAGGTGAAGTACATTGCATCTTGTAGCATTGAGGAACTACTTCCATTAAAGGAAAGTTAAGTATTTCACTTAAAAATATCATTAAAAACAGTATATAACATTATTTAACAGAGTCGGATGATTCAGGAGGCATACAGAAAAGAATGTCTGTGCTGACCTAGACCCTGCTTCTCTTTCTAGTCCTAGTTTAATCAAACATTCAAGATAATCAGTCCTACATGAGGTGATCTCACTTTGTGCAGTAGTCTATCTGCTAAAGTCTCTTCAGTTTCAAACTTGATCTGCAGCGTGATTCAGGCCAATAGCATGGACTGCTGACAAATCTTAGCTTAGTTCCTTTAAAACTACATTATTTTAAGCCTACAATTGGGGTATTTATGCAACTCTTAGAACTTAGGCTCTCTGTGATTAAATCCCAGGGTTATATGGTGTGCAGCCATCTGCCTAAGGATGATGTTGTTGAGATCGCTGCATACTGTCGCCAGTACTGTGTGCTGCCTTTAGCAGCAAAGCAAAGGATTGGCCAGCTGATAATATGGAGAGAGGTGTTTCCAAGACACCACCTCCAGCCCCCTTCAGACTCAGACCCCGAGGCCTTCCAGGAACCTGAAGGGAGATATTTCTTACTAATTGTCGGATTGGTGAGTTATGGACTTCTTTCTTGAATTTCATTTTATATTTTTTAAACCTACTTGCTCAAGAACACAAACATGCTCAGTTACAGTATGAATATGTTAATTATTTATTCAAGAAAATGTTAAATGCTTCTCTATTCTCTTCCTTCTGTATCTATTTAATACTCATGAAGAAATATTAGTAAAATCTAGTGTAGGATTTTAGCAGAGTCTGAAGATGCTTTGTTCCCTTCCTATAGTGATTTTATGATTTCATGAAACAAGTTAGAGCCAAGCCCAGCATGTTAATGATCCCTATAATCCCAGCACTTGGAAAGCTGAGGCAAGAGGATTGCAAGTTTGAGTTTGAAGGCAGCCTGGGCTGTACGTAAGTCCTGTCTGAATGAGGGTGGTAATAATGGAGGCTATTTGAGAGTTTCAGGAACTTCTCTGGACTAAGAAAAATAGTTGATGATGATTTGTTGCTTTATCAAAATTAAGCTATGTGGGATTGTTTCCATTGATTGTCTCCATAGTGGGTCAGGGAGCTTTGATGATGGGGAAACAAGAAAGAAGAGATTTTCAGAACTCACGAGCATGTGCAAATGCCCGTATGTCTTTAGTATTTACAAGCATATACATACAGACTGTATTAAATATTTTCAGTTGAACCTGTATCAATCTTCCTTTACAGCGACATTACATGTTGTGTGTGCTGTTAGAAGCTGGAGGCTGTGCATCTAAAGCTACTGGGAACCCTGGTCCAGATTGCATCTATGTAGATCAGGTCAGAGCAACCCTTCATCAGCTGGAAGGAGTGGAGTCCCGCATAGAGGAGCAGCTAGCCACATCCCCAGGGCCCTGCTTGTCCTGTGCTGACTGGTTCCTTGCTGCACCACGTGAAAAGGCAGATAGTTTGACCACTTCGCCTATCCTCAGTAGGCTACAGGGGCCTTCCAAAACTGCAACCTCTCCAACATGCAGAAGAACCTTTTTCAGTGACTATTCCTTCAAGGCACGAAAGCCCAGTCCCTCCAGGATCAGTGGTGGACGTGAGCCTGGTGAAGGGGAAGAAGGTGTTGGTCTGAGCCCACACACTACCCCAGATGCAGTACGGAAGCAAAGAGAATCCGAAGGCTCAGATGACAATGTGGCCTTGCTTAAGGTGTGTGTTCATTCCAATGTCTGCAATGTGAGCAATAACTGAGAGAATTTTTTTTAACTGGGAGAGCGTTCCTTGTTTGAAATGGTGGGTGTTTAGTCATTAAGGAAAAGACTTAAAATTGAAAAGAGAAAGAAATATCAAGTGCCAAGGCGTAAGCCCTGTGGTACTTAAGACATTTTTTTCACAGTGCTTCCAAGTAGAGAAACTTCAACCACATTGGCCTTTCTTCTGCATTGATAAGGGTGTCAGAGCATCTTTGCTGTGGGGCAGACCTGGTGTCAGTCTGACTAAGTAGCCAGTACAACATTTAACAGAAGCAGATGATCTGAATGGGGAAGAGGAGATGCCTGTTTATAATAACCTAAGGTTCTTAATCTGTGTATATGAATTGAATGTCACAAACATTACAAATGTGAATGTGGAACAGAGAATGCTCCTCCCTGAGGTTATGACTTCCCTTGACATTTTCCCACACACACTGTAAGATACCTCCACATTTGTCAAAGCTATCACCACCCTTGGGAGCTTTGCACTTACTCCTGGGATGCTGAGTCTCTCCACACAGTTTTGAAACTTCCATCAGGAGGATGGAGGTGATGCCAGACAAAGCAGAAGAAAGGCTGAGTATGAATGGGCTCCAGTGCTTCTGAGTGCACTGATATGCCCAAGCATAGCTCTCCCCTCTCCTATACAAAGACAGTGGGATGCTGTTGGAGCCAGAACAGAATGTGTTTGTTCCATGTATGTTTCGAATCTTAGCTATAACCAGTTGTCTCACTTGGTAAAATTAATAGGAAACAGATCAAGAGGATTTGGATAATTTATGGATAGCCAAGCTTTAGTCAGCCTCCATGAATAAGACTGAGATCTCTGTGACCTTGAGTTCAGACAGCATCGAGAGAGACAAGCGCACACACACACACACACACACACACACATGCACACACACTCATTCAGTAATGGAACTGGTGGGGAGTTTTCACTGTGACTTGACCTTGGAAACCTCCTTAGCAAAGAATAAGAGATGCAGATTCGCATTGAAAATATTTAAAGGGAGCGGCACAAAAATAGTGTTCTTAGGTTTTAAATTTTTGAATCATTTCTGCTATGTGATCCTATTCTTAGATACAAACTGACATACTTATCTTCCAGCTTGCTAGGAAGAAGTCAACACTTCCAAATCCGTTTCATTTGGGAACTTTGAAAAAAGAACTTTCAGAAAAGGAATTGGAACTCTATAACATGATGAAGTAAGAAACGTCTAGCATGCCTTTTCATCTAAAGTCCTTGCCTTTGAGAAAGTACAGAGATAATTCAATGAGCGTGATTATGATATAGCACAGATATGAGGTCACATCTATAGTGTTTTTGTAATCGTTCATTGCATATTTAGGGACATGAACATATTCGTACTCTAATGAAAACACCAAAAGTAGTATTTTAAAACATGAGTCACTCTTTACCTCTTTCCCACAGATAACATACTTTTTGGATGTCTTCTTTTTAAATTAGAGTTTAAAGACTAATTTTACACTCTAGTAGACGCCTGGTTATCCTTAGTCCTGTGCCTGGAAGTGGTGTCTGCTAGTGCCAAACAGCTTAGAGTGCTCACTTCTAGAGAACAAAGGGTTGGCCATTTGCCCAAATTCAAGACAACTGGACAAGGCCAACCATGCTTCCTGGTTCCAGGTGGTACATGAAGGCCTGCGTGGCAACTGCAGCACAGCTCAGCTTTTCTCTCTGCGATATTGTGCTTCCTTCACTCAATTCTCTTCTATGGTTCTATAACACATCCCGCTGACTTCTCCCCGTGTGTCTCCCTCTCAGAATATGAGTCCTAAAATCTGATCCTGAGCAAACAGGTAAAGCTCCAACTTAGGATTACCTTGATGGTCATCTCAGGATCTGCCTAGCTTGTCTTTTGAGACAAGGTCTCTCACTGCCTGGTGCTAACTAAGCATGCTGGGTTGGCTTCCTAGTGAGCACCAGGGCTCTACCTGTCTCTGCCTCTCCACAGCTGGAGTTGCAAAGGTACACCAACATGCCCAGTTTTTTGCATGGTTGCTGTGATTTGAACTCTGGTCCTCGTGTTTATAAGAAACTTTACTGACTAAGCTAAGTCTTCTTTTATGTTTATTTTGTGGGTAGCTACCTAGTCTGCCAGAATCTTCTTGCCTGATGTTTAATGTTGATGTCATGTGTGGGACCAGCTGGCAAAACAACACTAGTTGCAGTTAAGCAATGAAACATGTAGAATGAGAATTCACTTACACAGGAAGAGTGGGTGCATGACCACAAGCTTCTTAGTCATGGAAATATTTCCTAAGTGCAGGTGTGTTCCTAAGTACAATAGCAGTTGCCAAGAAATGTTTGTTATCTGAAGTTAGGGCAAAAGTATGATAACTTATCTGATTAAAGTAGTGTTCTGAAAATATAATATGTTAAAATTTGGTATTCAATACCTCCATGTTTTAGTGTTTAATTTTAATAGTTAAAACACCTTTAAGCAAATAAATATGAATCCAACCTTCTATGGTAAGCTGAAATCCCTTTGAAAACCCCAGTCTTCCATTTAGCAGTTAACTGCCAAATTTGATGGCATTTCATTACTGCCATACCATATTTTTAAAATACATACGTTGTTTTGACATTATATAAAAGGAAACTTTTGTTTAAGTTTAATAGAGGGAAAAGGCTGTGTGGTTATTTGGAGAACACAGCGTTTAGGAGGACAGCTGGCCGCTGTGAACACACACCAGCATGGACACTTATATAGACACACTCCAATCTTTAAAAAGGAAAAAAGTATAACCCAAACATGATGACACATGTCTAGTCCAACCACTGCAGAATGAGACAGTAAGAGTGCCCATGTGTATAAATAGCGGGGCTTTTTCCTTTAAAAGATGCCAAATATGTACAACTTATTCATTAAAGATGTGGCAAGTTCATTTTAAAAGCATTTTACTAGATGAATGTATTATATCACTCAAACTTGCATGTCCCTTTGTAAATATATGACATAAAAATACATCTTTTACACCAAGCATTTTATTCATTGGCATAGTTACATCCACTTGCTATTTCAGCAATCGCAGCTGACCCCTCTCCCATGATACCGCTTTGCATGAAGGTCCCTGCATTGGCCTCCAAACTCCTGACACTCAGCAGTGGAGAGTAAAAGACAGGGTAAAGAAAGAACAGGCTACAGGGTCAGACAAACCCTAGGTGACAATGCATCTGAAGTCAGGCGCATCCCAGTGCTGGATAAGTCTCCATGGCTAAAAGGACCACAATAACATTTAATATCATGCATGGCCATTATGGAAATTGAACTAAGGTACTTTCAAACACACACTGTGGCACATAGAAGACATTCATGATAGCTGTTGTTATTTCTTGCCTCTTTGTTATTCTTTTGACCCTTCTTCCTTCAGGGAAACATAAACATTATAGGTTCTGCTGACCTATCTGAAATTAAATACAGGGGGATGGGGAAGAGATAGGAAAGAAAAGAAAAACTGAAAACAGTAAGCAAATATTGTTGGAACAGGATCTAAGAATAGAGTTGTGTGAGATTTCTGAATACTTGTGAGAAAACTCCAAGAAACCAAGACAAGACTCTTATGACCTTGGCTTCTTCAAAAACATTCAGTTGTTCTTATAATGTTCTTCTCATGCCCATCCCGGGTGTCACAGTTAGAATTGAGTTTACTTTAGATTATTCATTACAACTGGCTATTATTATTTGTTTAGATGCCTCTATGAAAAAACATGTTTTTGCTGCATGCGGTTTATCTGCCTCATGAATGTACACTTCACACATGTGACTTCTCTTAACTATCAGAGTATAAATTGTCTGATGTTCTGAATAAAGTTGACTATTGCATGAGACTCTTGTCAGCCTCATTTTAAAGGTTCCACCTCCTTTAAACAGAATATAAATGAGAAGAAGGTTGTAGTAGTGTAGAAGAATACGATCAACTGTTGGCACAGTGATGAGCTACTAACCTAACTTTGTAATTGCTAATAATTTTATATTTCTTCAGGATCATCAGTATTGTTGCCATGACAAAGAAGTTTGATGGTGCTGATTTCAATAAGTTTAATTTTGTGGGAGATAATACTGTATGTGCCCTACTCTAAACTGATATCATTTTTATAGCTAGTTGAGATTTATGCCAAGCATGAGCTGTTATTCATTACAAACCATAGCAAAAGAGAGCTTAGCCATTTGGTTGTTTAGTAAAGAGACTTTAAGCTACTTACAAATGAATTAGTGTTTATCCATCCATAGCTGGCACTGTTTGTCTCTATGAAGGAACTAACAATAGCCTAACATGTACTTTACTTAAGGACAGAGAATTAAACATTTGGCTCAGATTTCTATATGTAATCATACTGCTAATATTATTTCAAATAGTCTTGTGAGAACTCTACAAAATTCAAAATTAAATAATTCTTTGATTTACTTTAATTTCCTTCTCTCTCTCTCTTTTTCAAGATTGACCTCTGGTCCTGAGAATACACTCTTCCACTATGTTGCCTTAGAAACGGTGCAAGGCATCTTCATCACCCCCACCCACGAAGAGGTGGCTCAGCTAGGTGGTTCCGTCCACTCTCAACTAATAAAGAATTTCCATCAATGTTGTCTCTCTATCCGTGCAGTTTTCCAGCAGACACTGAAGGAGGAGGTAAGCAAATATCAGCTCTCTGTTTTCTTAAATCAGCATGACCAGCAGTTTTCAGTTCTGTTCAGTTCTGTGGCCTGGAATCCTACCTCTGGAAATGGTGGACCGAGTTTTTCATGGCAAAGTACAAAACGGTAGTTTATAATACCAACTAGCCACTCATATCTAATATTTGTGAATTAACCATTTGTTAGTTGGTGGCTACTGTTTCAATTTTGGATAAAATTTCATTTAGTGTTGCACCCCATGCTTGGACAGTAATATTATATATACTTATAGGATCAATTGAATTCTTGTGGTGACAGGAGAACTGGTGTTGAACTGTCATTATGGAAAAATATTGAGAGGTTTATGGCTAGGACTGCAGCTATCAGCTTAGTTAGTAAAGTGCTTATGTCATCCATGAAGCTCTGGGTTCCATCTCCTACTGTGAATAAACTGGTCCACATCTGTAATCACAATACTTCTGATGTGGAGGCAGGAGGATGAGAAATTCAAAAAATCATCTCCAGACTCATAGTAAGTCTGAAGAACCCTGAGCTATATGAGACTCTGTCTCAAAGAAGGAGACCATGAAGGTGGCTCAGCAGTTAAGACCACATTCTGTGCTTGGAGAGAGGACCTGGAGTTTTGTTCCCAACACCACGTTAGACAGCTCTCAACCCCAAGGGGCCTGATGGTCTCTGGCCTCCTTAAGTACCTGCACACAGGTGGTGCATGTAAACTCACATGGGCACACACATATACTCATAAATTAAAAAAAAATGAATCTTTAAAAAACAAAAGAAGGGAAGGGAGAGAGAAGAGGAGGGGTTTGTACTCCATCTATCAACCGTCCAGGAGCACCCCTCTAAAAACGCTTGGGATGTATGCAGCATACCCATTTTGTGAAGAACATTGGGCTGGGAGTAAGCAGCCCTGACTCTTTGGATTATATCACTTCAGGGCCCATTCAACAGTAGAGTTAGTTCTGTGTTCCACACTTTTGGGTTCTTAGAAACTATTATAACAAGGTTCTGATTGACCAGGGAGCCCTTCCTGTTTTCAATGCTTGGGCTCTCTCCTGCCATATTAACATAGCAATGGACGCTCTGGGAATGTCCTCACCTTGCTTGGTCATATTCAACAATGGAAACTGGCCTTTCTCATTACAGGTCAAGGTACCTGCTCTGCACCAGACACTATTCTAGGTACTACAAAAGAAAACAGATTAAAGCCTTTCCCTGAAACCTACCTCCTAATGATGGAGCTAAATAAATTGTAAATCCAGGAGAGCCAGTATCAAGAATTACTTTAATCATAGTCTGAGTGGTGTAGGTTACTGTTTTACTAATTCCCTCTGATCATGTCAAGCTAGCTTGGAACAGGCATGAGTGGAGAGGGAGAAGGCTGTGTGGCTATTCGGGGAACACAGCGTTTAGGAGGACAGCTGGCCGCTGTGAACACACACCAGCATGGATGCTTATACAGACACACACAAATCTTTAAAAAGGAAAAAAGTATAACCCAAACATGATGACACATGTCTAGTCCAGCCACTGCAGAATGAGACAGTAGGAGTGTCCCAAGCTTAGGACCAGCTCCAGCTAGCCAGGGATAAATAGTGAGAGCCTGCCTTGAAAAAGAAGCAAGAATAGAGAGAGAACAGTACTTGCTCTCTGCCTTTGGTTAAAGCTTGTAATCTATCTTAGGAGATAATGTTTAAACCAAGAATTGAAGAAGAATCGGGATTTTCTGCAGGTTAACAGGAAGAATAACATTGTAGACTCTTAGAGCCAGAGTCAGCCGCCAGCAGCATCATTGATATTTATGTGAACCATTTTATTTTTCTAGTTTCCGGGATTAAACCCAGGGGCTCTGTGCATGCTAGACAAGCACTCCTACCACTGAAGTACATTCCCAGTTCCAAACATTTTAAAATAACACTGTCAATACTAGTTAATATTAGTTAATACTCATAGTCAATACTAGTTAATACTCATAACCCATGCTAATTTGCAGAAAAAGAAAGTGCTAAGTGGTGGAGATCATTCAGAGTCTGCAAACTCAGTGTCTTCTCTGAGCCCTGTGAAAGAACACGGTGTGCTGTTTGAATGCTCACCTGAAAACTGGACTGATCAGAAAAAGACGCCACCAGTCATGTCATACTGGGTGGTAGGGTAAGTGAGTGGAAAGTGTGTGAATGGGAAAATAGGGCCAGAGTGGGAGGGAAAAGCAGAGGTGTCACCAAACCTCAGCCTGCGAGTGTTATCAAGCTAAAATCTTTTAATTTATTCTAGAGCTTTGAGTTTTTATTTTGTTTTTTTTTTTCCTAATACCTCACTTGTGTCCTTCCAGTGGAGCTAAACGAGAATGATTGTGGGAGGGATTTGATGAAAGAACATTGAGGTTGTGAAAGAAAGAAAGAAAGAAGGAAAGAGAGAAAGAGAGAGAGAGAGAGAGAGAGGAAGGAAGGGAGGGTAGATGGAGGATAGAAGAGAGAGAGGGAGAGAGAGAGAAAAGAGAGAGA